TTCTTGCCTTTTCGGAAGTAATACAATAAAATATGTCGGAAGTGCACGTCCTGTTCTTTCATTTTTAAATTGGGATAAAAACAAAACTAAAGAACTAAACAAAAAAAATTTTGTACTTATTAACCTAAAAGCCCATATAGTAAGAAAAAATATAGGTTAGATGCTCTGGCCACGTTAATAAAACAAAAGAAAGTATAGAGTGAATCCGTCAACAAAAACGGCAGTGACTTAGTTGCCAATCCCATAGATGCTCCACGGCACGTTCTAATAAAACAAAAGAAAGTATAGAGTGAATCCGTCAACAAAAACGGCAGTGACTTAGTTGCCAACTCAATAATTATAATGGAGGGACACAACATGTTCGCTAAAGTCTTCGAGATTGTTGGTGTTCAAATACGTTGATTTGGGTGTGCAATAATGAGAAACACGACAGGAATTAAAAGAACTTATTGGAAACTTCTGCTTTTAAATTCCAAATAAAATTGTAAAAATGTAGTCTACTTGCAAAATTTAAGGCGCATGTAATATGTGAAAAAAATGATAAAAACCCGAATGCAATGGCCAGAGTACAAAAGATTTGAAACGTTATCTTCCATAGAGATTTCTCATCATAGTCATTACTTGCTAGTGTAGCTAACTGCTGCCAAGAAAAATTGTGATTAAGAAGGGATAAATAGAGGAATCAAACTGGTAAATGCCTCATTTTTTAATGTTTGGTCTTATTAGGTGGAATAGTCAAAATTTGAAATTCGCTGTGGAAATATCAATGAAAACTTCTCAATCATACTACCTCAAGTGCTCCGTCAAGTGAGCATAAACATTTACTTTAGGAATGCATAATCGCCTTGAATCTACTATGCACTATCAACTTGATCCCACTTGCAGGAAGAACATTTCTTCGGCCAAAGCTAAATTTAGCAGTTTGGAACTCACCCATTTTGCATTTTTTGTAAACGAAACTTGCTTAATTGAAGCTGTGAGCCTTTTTATTTCTAGTACAACAATCTCTTTCCAAAAATCACATGATCAAATCTCCTTCACGTCAATTAAATATCTCGCTCTCCCCCTTCCCGATGCGGTTTTGATAGCTCCACTGAAGGTACTGTTTACGTTCAATCTTCTTCCTACGTAGGCAATCAACAGGTGTACACAACAAAATCCTGGAGTGACCGTGCAACTTATTTTTTATCATTTGTCCATCCTTAAATACCCAGTGAGATCAATCACTGCACTCCGATTATTTCACTGAACATTATCAAGTCCAGAGTTCAATATATTCACATAGGAACTTTTCTTCTCTATGACACCTACATCAAAATATTTTCCAACTTCAAACCAGTCCACCTCTTTGGCCAGATCCACCAGCAATCTTCGTTCCATCTTCAAATTATCCTCACTTCTCTTTATCTAAATTTGAACCTAACTTCTTTTCTTATCCAAAATTAACCTTTATTTCTCTCTATTATTTTTAGACCAACCGGTTCAATTCAGAAAGAGGTGAATCGAATTTTAAGTCAAGAATCTTCGTTCTCAAACTCTTTCCTACATTTACATGTAAGGCATCAGTTTAATTCTCACAGATTTTCTCAGCGCATCGTTTCTTACATCTTTTCTTCATTTCTAAATAGAAGTAGATATAGTCAATTTAAAGATGTCGATTTTGAGTTATTTCCACTTTAAAGAATGAATTATTTCATTCACCAGCTGACGATTACATTTTTAATTGAATTTGAGCAATGACATCAAACGTAATTTGTTTTATGAAGGTTTAAAAAGACATTTCAAAGTGTATTAGACAACCAGTGGCCAATAGCAACTGAGGGAGTAATTGTTTCATTAAATATTCATTAAAAAAGATATACTACTTCTGGCTTCGTCAAGGCGTGCATGCAGCAAAGGATAGGTTGCAGTGTTCATTTGGAACATAAAGGCCAGTTAAGCATTTCAAACGCCGTGGCCGATCACATTATCTACTATTTTCAATTGATAAGGCGATAAATGTACTAACATATGTCACTGAGACAAAGTCAATGTGCTTACGTACTACGAGGATTTTGGAAGAGGATAAAAAGTGCCTCATTTCATGCTTTCAAGTAAACAAAAGAAGATTGATTTCATGAATATATTTAGCAAATTCCAAAATGCTTTATTGATCGACAACAATAACTGGGTTTTAGTAACATGGTGGAATTATCCATTGGCACTTATTGTCTCAATTTGCGGTCTTAATAGAAAAATATTAATTTTGAATATTTACTCATCTTAAGATTGTGAAAGAGTTCATTCTCAATCAGTCTTCACAGGTAATCAGAATACGTCTTCAAATTCTGCCTTCATTATTTGCTAAACAAAGCTCGAATATCTCTACTTTGTAATTCTCAGACAAATTTCTCCGAGATATGCAATTCCAAATAAGAATACAGCTAGAATTCCTGATCTTGTAACAATTTCTCGCAACTTTTGTCGATCTTGTATCTCCCTCCCCACTTCTCTTTTAAATATGTTTTGTGCTTAAAAAAACAATATCTCTTCAATTTTGGTTTTTATTTGTGTGGATCAGTATGGATTTTGTAGCCAATTACTACATTAATTGGCGTTCACATACAAGTGAACTGATGAAATCTTCATAGTAGCCAACTTGGAAACCACGAACTCAAAGCAAAGTCATGGAAATGGTCAAACACTGAGTTTAAAGCAACCAAAAACAGTGGAGGTTGGGATATTTGGGCGTTTTCAGAAATGCTCGCAGTTTCTTTACAGCAAACTTGCCTCAAATTATTTTATACTACTTTATGCTACGATATCTTAAACAGCAGAATAAAATCAACCTAGTTCTATGTTAGAGTTCTGGGGTGTGGGATTGACTTACCTCCTCGTTGTGCACCCTGGGCAACGTATAATCATACGTCAAAAAAGTCTATTAATCGGCAGTTGACTTCTCACGTCACGTAAAAGTTTTGCATGAGAACTGTATTTTTAATGGTGTTTGGAGGGTGGGGATGTGGAGGGGGATTGTCAATTTTAAACTATTCTAAGAGTCTGAATATGGCCACATGATTGATACTTTATTTGATCATATTTTATGAAAGATAGTTTGTCAGTGGTAAGTAAGAATAGGTCTGCAAAATAGTTCAATATAAACGGCTTGACGATGTGGTGAAATGTTAGTCCATCGGTAAACTCAGAGACAATTTGAAGGACCAAACCAGCATTGCTATCGAAGTGCCAAATTGAGGGACGTCGATGCAGCACCCAACAGAACGACGGAGGTTGGAGTGGTAAGGGGCTGCAAACTCTGAACGAAGGCGTTGGTTGTGAAATTTGGAGCCAGGAGTCGAGAACAGAGCAATACCTCAAATGGTTATTCAATTTATTTATTTAAGTATGACTTGAATTAACACTAATATCAGTTTAGCTGAGAAGTCCTCTGTACAAACACGACAGCTCACTTTCGAGAATTTTCAAATAGACATATTTGAATTGCCGACTTCTTATCGTTGAAAAAATTGCAAACACCCCACAACTAAAATTTGGTATATATTGCACATAATTCCATCAAAGAGTTAAAAAACAAGAAAATTTGCTTCAAATTTAATTACTTTCATCAAAGACTTTTCCCTTGAGCAAACTTTTTCTCGATAAAATTAAAAACTTGGCGATTTATTTGTTTGAATCATATTCACTTAAATGTAAAGCATATTTCGTGTGAGGTGTCAATTTCGGTCGTAAAATACAATTAGTTTTGCACCCAATTAAGAAGTGCAACTTTTGATGTTAAAAAATAGGTTCCATTCTCTTCAAAAACTAACACGCATCGACTTGAGTGCCAAAAATGTATTGTCAAAATGAGTCAACTGTAGTTGTTGAAACTTAATTGGTTGCGAAAGGGTGTGGGTTATTCCATTGATGCAGTTACTCTCCAAAGTCTGCCACTTTTTCTTTCTAAACGCAATCTTACACTCTGCATTGAAATTAATCTATTAACGATGCAATTTCCATCTGAGATACAAAAAATTGATCACGGTCCCATTTCTAAATATGCCAATGGGTTCAATGTATTGCGACAAGTAATGGCATTAATCGATTTGTCAATACTTGTAAGTGCATATTTTCGTTGAAGGGGCAACTTCTCTCTTTCCAGACCAAAGACGGCACTATTATTCCTGCCCACAAACTTGTACTTTGTGCACAATTTCCAGGAATAAAGAACAGCATCTTAAAGAGCAAACATTCAAACCTCCCAAATTGGAGTTATTTTCCAAATGAGTAGGTCATTTGTCCTGATAACATTATCAACTCATTAGCATTGTTATGGCTGTCGTCGATTTCGCCTACACTGGTAAAATTATCATAAATGTTGAAAACGTATTGGGGATATATCAGATTGCCCACAATCTTGGCTGCAAACAGCTGATTGACTGGACAACGGAGTTCATCAAGACAAGGTTCGTTTATTGCAACCAAATTAATCATAATGCGTATGTGTGTGCCAGTGTATCTGCAGCTAATGTATACTTCTTGATTGTCAGGGATTTTAAAAATCAATAGGTGTGTGTGGAGGTTTAGTAAAGTGAGTTTCCGAACGAAAAGTATTGATGAAAAAGATATGGGGCAGAATAAGAGGTCGCGGCAAAGGATGCAACAAAATACCAAACATCATCTAAAATTTAGTGTTTATGTAACTTTTCATAATTTTTGACGCTTCTCCTCATGCACTTAACGAAATTATCTTTTAGGCTTGATCGGCTAAATTTGATGAAAGTTTGGTCAGTAGGAAATGGCACTTCAAACAACGATCTCATTGGTGCGTGCATTCCAAGGATAGCATGTGATTTTGAGAGATTAGTCTCTGGCCAGTTCTTCCTTCAACGCGTAGGAGTCGAACAACTTCAGCTCTTACTGCAAAGTCCTTGGATATGTGATCAAAACGAAGTAACAAAATTCAAGGCACTCTGCGTATGGTTGAATTCCTCGTCTTTGAATTTCGAACGCACTAAACGCGAAAAGGACTTTGATCGTCTTTTAGAGTTGATCAATGCAAAAAAATTGCCTCGAGATGTTGTAATTGAAACGTTAGTAAATGGATCAGATTTCGACCTGCCGATAAATGCAAGGTACTGTCTTACTTCAATTTTGAATAATTGGTCAATTAGGAGAACATTGCTAGACACTTTTATGAATTTGAATGGATCTGCAAGGAAAAGGTTCGCTCATCTTTGCCTGTAACTCATTGTTTAGACATTGCAGAACGAAAATGCTTGTTGGTGTTCATGGTCGTATGGACGATTCGAGATGTGGGGTTTTGGAGACATTTCCTAAATTAGATGGAGGAAAAAAATTCTCTTTCCCATTAATATCTCGATCTGGCAGCTGCACAGTTGCTTTGGATGGTTGAAACCAATTTCAATCGTTTACTCCCAATTACTTTATTTTACTCTTTATAGGCAGTGTATATACTTTGGGTGGAGTTAATAGGTTTGGAGAAAGCATATCAAGAGTGGAAAGAATCAATCCACAGAATGGTGAAGTGACCTTACTCCAACCAATGATTGAGGAGAGAGAGGATCATTCTGCAGTAGCTCGAGAGCATGTGATTCTAGTTTTTGGTGGATATAATAAGGACAGTGACGCAATTTTAGACTCTTGTGAAGAATTCCATCCCGCATCCAATGAGTAAGCATTTTATTTTTCACTTATATGTATTTCGAGATATTTTGCATTGTTTTGGTTGGAGAATAAGTGGGATTCACTTGATTGTCATTAACAGTGTTCTTATTCGTGTTGAGACTTTGTCTTTATCTTTTGTTACATCTTGATAGTTAGCTACTTTATACATAGTCATTAGCATTGTGATACTGGTGTCGATAGGACATTGCTGGGTCATTTTTGGTATTTCGACATTATAAAAAAATGTTGAAGCAATTGGATTAAGTTTTCCTCTCACAACTGCTTATTGAAGAACTGTTTATCAAGATATTGGCAGTGGTGTGCCCGAGCATGTACATTTACAGATGGTAGAATTTACCTGATCGCGATCTTCGACTTCTAGGTAGCCGGTTACGAAAAATTTACTAGTGCCCAAATTGTGCATTTATTTAAAATTAGGTGGGTAGAATTGCCCCCAATGCCAACACCTAGGTATGCCACAGGAGCAGCACATATACCCGGAGTTGGTGATTTAGTTGTTGGTGGTTGGACAGATACTGGAGATGATATACCAGCTGTCGACAACGCAGAAATCTTTTTGACAAATTCATCGCCTCTTGGACATGCAGGCAGTTGGTGTGAAATCGCCCACATGCTTCATTCGAGGGCATATCCAAAAGCAGAATTTTTCAATGGAAATGTATACGTCGCTGGTGATTGTGAGGATTCAACTTCTTCTGTGGAGATGTTGTCCTTATTTTCTGAAGGACCTCCTCAGTGGACCGAAGTGATCAACGCCTCTTTTAGTACGGATTCGATGATCTCTTTTAAAGGGAGTCTTTTGTTTGCTAGTGAGTCAAATTTTATTTTCTTCTTAATTTTATGTCTTTATCATTATTATCTGCTTACATTGTTAACTATTATTGACACAGTTTTGAGCACATAGCTTACAACAGTTTTTTTCAATTGGAATTTACTTAAAGTGTACTCACTTTTTGCAATCGAAAATAATGAGGAAATTTAAGTATTGAGAGAGGGTGGTAAAAGGTTGGAGTAGAAAGTTATTTCAATATCTTCAAGAATTTTAGGAACTCATCAAGTTTATGACATTTCAACTGGAATTTTCCCTCGTATATTTATTTTCCCCACAAACTTCGAAATTTACATATTTTGAAGTTCGTTCCAATGATGTTTTGAGGAAATTAATCAATTCGTTCAATTGAACAATTACACCCGAAATGTGAAAGCAGATAATTGAGTTTAGTTAACTTGTTTTGGATAAACAACATTCACTTGACTTCACTCAGGTCCAGTTTTAATAAAGTAAAATAAAAATATGAAACTATTTCCCATTAATTGTAGGTGATGCTGGAAGAATATATGAACTACTATTCAATCAACACGACGGGGTAAGTTATATGACATTGAAACCCCATGAACGAACGAAGTGCCAACCAAACCCTATTTGATTTTACTTTAGAACACCTCAAGGAGCAAGTATTCTTGGAAATTAATTTCTGAATTGGACTATAAAGATGACCTGCGACTCCTGAAGATAAATAATTTCCAATGATTCATTTACAATTTCCAATCAACAATTGTTACTATTTCTAACCACCGGAAAACAAAGAAATGCTAAAAATGCTTGTTAAAGGTTGAATCAGTTTATTTTTGTGTAAAAAATACAACAGAATGAATGGAAATTAAAATTGACATTCTATTCTTGCTAAGATAGATCGTTTCCTTTAAAAGAAATAATTATAATGGCAGAAAGAATTATGCAAATTGAAAAATCAATCATTTTTTATCTCATAAATTGATTAATTTTATTCAGAGTGTGCAGTGAAGGAGTCTCGCGCGTACTCGGACATTCTATAGGGTGGTTCGGCTTTGTTTTGCAATTCTAAACATGAAGGAAGCATATGTGAGATAGAAATGAATGGGAGAAAATAAACAGTTTTATTATTTTTGAACTCTCATGATAAAAAGTATTTCAAAATAAGTAGCATGTTTCAAGGTTGGAATAATCCTGAAATCTTATCTCAGAATCATTTGAGGATATAATGCAAACATGGACAAGACTAAGTACTTGTTTTGTGCTAAGGAGTCATGAAAATGCAATGGACAAATGTCAAAGAATTCATGCAAATGGTCCACGGCAAATTGTTCCTTCACATGAGTTTTGCGTTTAAAAACACCATCTCTTCAATAATCCCATGTATTCGTGTGGATTAGTATTCATCCTGTATCCGGTTGCTACACTAACTGGCCTTCACTTACACATGGGCCACAGGTGTCACTAGAGAGTCGTTGCTTAAAGGGTATTTGTCATTTTGTCGCAACGAATGCTTCCATTGTCAACAGCAAGGAAGTGTGGATAATTGCAGCTAGGAAATTACAATTTATCATTGGCCCACGGGGCAAGACTGATGACTTCCTCATAGAAGTCAACATGGTGTACACGAAAACAAAGCGGAGTCGTGGATATGGCCAAATGCAGAGAGGTTCATACGAGGTAAGACACAGCAATAGCATTGAAGAAGTAAAGGTGCAGACACCACATTGATTATTGAAGTTTAAATCTCAGCAAACATTACTAATAATAATGGAATTCATTCAACTTAC